CAACTTCTGGTGCTTGTTCAAACAGAAGCATTTCCTATTTTGCACTCCTCCTGGGCACTTTGCTTTTCCCTCTGGAACTGTCCTCTCCTGTTTTGTCCTGGAGTGCTCCTCTTGCTGTCCTTCGCACTGAGTTGTGAGCTTCTAGGCCAGGCTTATCCTATTATTTATCTTTATATCTCCATCAGGGCCTCCTTTGCAGTAGGTCAGCTACTTTGCTGCTTTATGTACCCCCTTCAGCTTCCTCTCAGCCTATTCCATGTAGCTCTGTAGCTGAGTGTGGCTGGATAGAAGCACAACATTGGGTCACCTGCTCACTCTGAATTCAGAAACACTAACCTGGAGTGGACCCTGAACACTTCCACTTGCTCCTTCTATTTTCCCTGCTTTCCTCATTTTCTCACTCTGCCTTCTCAAACCTCTTTCTTCCTTTTCACTCTTAGTTGATGATCTTGCTGTTTCTTTATTGAGTAAAAAGACAGAAGGAATCCGAAGATGATGTCAGCAGCCTTCAGCCCGGGACTCCTTCCTACCTCCCTGCCAGCCTGGGAGCAGAATAGTGGTAGCGTAGTTGAGTTCCCAGGGCTGTCCTGGATGGCTATGCAGCCAGCAGGGGTGAGGGAGGGCTGCAACCCAGTGGGGAAGCAGGCTGGTGTCTGGTTCCTGGAAGCAGGCGATGTGGAACCCTGTCCATCCCAGTGCTGGAGGGCTCTGCTCCTGAAGCTGACCTTTTTGCTTGAGCATCGGGATCCAGTCCTCACCTGTTCACCTGTTACCTTTCTGGATCGGACAGTTCACGTCATCATTAAAACACATGCTGTTATTTCTCTCATTTAACCAAACCAAACCTGTTTGGAGGACTCCCTTCCTCCCTGTAGCCACTGCCCCCGTCTTTTTTTCCCCTAGAGGAAGAAAAGTTTGCCAAAGTTTTGTTCTTGGAGTCTGTGGTTTCTTTCCTTCCCCTAATAACATCAGATTTGCCTGCACCCGATGGGCTCTGCCTTGCAGAGTCCAGTGGTTACTGCTCAGCCCTCTTCTTACTGCTCTACCATCATCTTCCTGTCTCCTAGCCGCCTGTGAAACTGCACCCCAGAATTCCCAGGGAGCTCCCACACCCTATGCATGCACATTTGATTTTCCTTTGCCTTCTCAGTGTCCTTTGCAGACTCCTCCTCATCTCCCTGACATCTAAGCATTGACACCCATTGTGGGTTGAATTTTGTCCCCCCAGAACGTACATTGAAGTCCTAATCTCCAGAACCTGTGAAGGTGTCCTTATTTGGAAATAAGGTCTTTGCAGACATAATCCAGTTAAGATGAGGTCACTAGGGCTGGCCCTCATCCAATATGGCTAGTGTCCTTTGAAGAAGAGGACAAGAGACACAGACGCAGGGAAGGGAGCCAAGGATGGCCAGCAACACCAGAAGCCAGGAGTGGAGCCTAGAACAGATTCTCTCCTAGAGCCTTCAGAGGGAGCGTGGCCCTGCCGACGCCTTGATTTTGGACTTCCAGCCTCTGGAACTGTGGGGGGGGGGGTAGATTTCTGCTGTCTAAGCCCCGCAGTCTGTGGCACTTTGTAGTGGCAGCCCCAGGAAACTGGTGCAACCCACTTTTCATCTGCAGTCACACCCTCGTTGCTCTCAGCCTGTCTCCTGCCTTCAGATTATCATCCGCAGTCTGGAGATCCCCCATTTATGTCCTCGGTGTGGACCTCTCCCCTAGATCCCTGACTCACGTGTCCTACTGCTTATTCGCTGCCTCTGTGCGTTTCTAACCAGTGTCTCACATGTGATGTGCCCAGAACCGGCTCTTCCGGTCCACACCTGTTCCTTCCCTCCCCACTCAGTATTTCCGGGGGCAGCTCCATCCTTCCAGGTACTTAGGCCAGAAATGTTGGGCTCTTTTTTTTTTAAGAGAAGTAAGCCTTTATTTCCTTGTCTTACACATAAAGTTGGGTGAATTGGTTGCTTGGGCTCATTTTTGACTCCCCATTCCCTCTGACATCCCAAGGGTGATCTGTCAGCGCATCTTGCGGCCTCTACGTCAGTCTCATGGCCGCTGTGATACCTGTCCAGGTGTTAGCATCTCGCTCCCGGGAGCTTCAGAGGCTTCCTGACTGCTGTCTGCTCCCATGTGTTTGCTCCCCCTTAATCTGTGCTCAGGGCAGTTTGCTGAGTGAGTGATCCTGCGGTGACTGTGACCGCGGGAGGTCACCACACTCCCTTTCCCGAAGCCTCCAGGGCTCCTCATTGCCCCCAGAGTGAAAGCCCCAGTCCCTGCTGTGGCCCTTCAGGCCTTGCACGGCGTGGGTGCCCCTCTACCTCTGTCCTCTGGGCTCCTTGGCCGCCTCCTGGCTTTCTCTGCGTTCTGGGCACTTCCCTCCCTCATGCTCCCGTTTGGGCCTCTGCTCCTCCTTGGAATCCTCTATGTAAATAGAGAAGAGCTATGGGCTTGTGTGGGTTACATTGTCCGACCCTCCTTTCTTCCCTCCCCCCAGGGTTCATCTGCCCTCCCCACGATGGCCTATCTCCAACACTTCTTATCTCTCTTCTCTGCTTATCGTCTCTTCCTTGGCACTTATGACTAACATTCTATGTCTTGTGCTGATGAATTTTTATAAAAATGATCTGACTCTCATGCTAGGATATAAGCCTTTTGAGGATGGGAACTTTGGCTCCTTTGTTCACTACTGAATGTCCAGAACCTATAAGAAAGTCTACCATATGGTGGTAGGCACCCCATAATATCATAATATTTGTCGCATGAATGGATTGACAAAACATTTTAGTTGAATCTGATATTTTTATAATAGTATTTATTTTACCATTTGTGTGTGTGTGTTGTTTTATCTTTTTTTTTACTTTTTAAAAAGATTTTATTTATTTATTTGAGAGAAAGAGTGTGTGTGTGAGTGGGGAGAGGGGCAAAAGGGGAGGGAGAGGGACCAGCAGACTCCGCACCGAGTACAGAGCCCGACACGGGGCTCAATCTCACGACCCTGAGATAGTGATGTGAGCCGAAACCAAGGGTCAGTCGCTTAACCGCCTGAGCCACCAGGTGCCCCCATTTTGTTTTATTTTTAATTATGATAGTTTTAAAATCTAGAGAAGAATAGAGAGAATAGTGTGACAGATACCCCAAATACACATGGTCTAAATTTAACAGTTATTAGTGTTTTGCCTTATTTGCTTCATCAGATACCATGACACATACACATTTCTACCATTAAGGCTGTGTTTCTACATTACCACGGTACCGTTATCATGCCTACTGGACCTGACAGTGAATCTTTGTTGTCTGATCCATACTGTCCAGATTCAAATTTCCCAATTGTTTCAAAATGTCTCTTCCAGCTCAATTGTTCAAACCAGAATGTGTTAAAGAGCCACTCACTGTATTTGATAGTGTCTTTCACGTCTCTCCTCATCCAGACGGGGTTTCACCCTCCCACCCCCCTTCTGCCTTTGGGGCCCCTGTGACATTGACTTGCCAATTCTTGTTTTGTGAAATATCTCACCTTCTCGATTTCTTCTGATTCCTTCCTCCCGAGGTTATTTAACTTGTTCTTCTGTCCTCTATATTTTTCGTCAAGTGGAAGTACATTTTAATGGTCCATTAGTTGAATTTAGTTCAGTGAAATTTCGTCTTTGAAGCTGCTTCTCTGCGGCCACATGCAGCTTTGGGGCATACCCTGTGTTAACAGAAGGGCACCTTTCCTCTTTCGAAAGGCCCAACATTTGCATGAAGGTGGCCTAAGAGCCTAGATCTGTGTTTACTGTGACTCTCTGATCTTAATACATTTGGTGTTGGCCTCTCAGGGTGATGACTCCCCTGATCCCGTAGTTCCCTGGTGCCCCACCTCCTACCCCACCCCGGAGGGAGGTCCCTCCAGGGTGGGGCGCCCACGGCCTGAGAAGAAGTTGCAGCCTGCTGGAGGCTCCAAGACCCCTTCTTGTTGTAGGGATTGGAATAGAGAGCTCTGTTCTGGATTAGGCAAGGTTTCTAGTAGGTTCTGCCTCCCTCCCAACCCCCCCTGGACCCACATTTGGACAAAGTGGAGGCCGCTGTTGGGTTCCCCATTATTTCCCCATGTAAAAGTCACGTTCCCCCTGCTGGTGACCTGTCAGTGGCTGGTGGGGGTCAGCTTGTCTAGGAGAGGGGGTAGAGGTCCTCCAGAGGGGGAGAGCTAATGCTCTTATCTTAGGGCCTTGTGTTCTGTGACTTCTGTTCTGGCATTTTACAGTATTTCCCGAGGTAGGATAATGAATTTCCTTGAGGGGCGAAAGTTTAAAGCTGTAAATTTCCTGCAAAAGGCACAGACTAGAGAATTACTAATGAACTCTAGAGCCGGAGAAGACTTTTAAGGATTTACGATATAATGTAGGATAGAAAGTTTAATAAGGTGCATTTATTTCTTTGGATCCTGGCTTCTGAACAGTTTACAGTTGATCCTCGAACAGTGTGGGAATTAGGAGAATCCCCCCCCTCCACCCCACTCCCTGCCAGGGAGGTCGAAAATCCACAGCATATAACTTTGACTCCCCAAAAACTCAACTAGCAATAGCATACTGTTGACTGAAAACCTTACCAATGGCATAAACAGTCAGTCGATTAACACGTATTTTGTGTGCTATGTGTATTATATATAGTCTCCTTACAAGAAAGTAAGCTAGAGAAATGGAAAGGTTATTAAGAAAAGCGTAAGGAAGAGAAAATACATTTACAGCGCTGTACTGTATTTATTGAAAAAAGCCCGAGCATAAGTGGACCTTCGCAGTTCAAGCCTGCATTGTTCAAGGGACAAGTGTATTTTTCTGGTATAAGCATATTTCGTATACTTATTGTTTACTATATGATAGCACAGATGTTTGGAATATGTTACTCCAGCTCCTCCTGGTCATGAATTAGGAAGTACTTACATTACCAAAGTGGCATTTTAGGGAAAGGCTACCATCACCTCTTGTAATGCCAAATGACGACCTTTTCATTTCTTTATAACACAGGACATCTGGGATCCTCTTATGCAGTGGCTGGGGAAGCATGTGGATCCTGAAGGAGTCATAAAATCCAGCAAGCTCTCCCTCAAGTTTCTTTCATCGTACACGTCTGAAATAGAAATCAGTCCATCTGCTCTACCTGTGGTGACTGACGTGGAGGCCTTCTCTTCAGAAAATTTTAACTTAGACATCTACCGACAGAATCTGCAGACAAAGCGACTTGGAAAAGTAATTCTGTTTGCCGAAGTGACGCCTACCACAATGAACCTTCTGGACGGGTAAGTTCTGGCCAGACTTTGTGCACCTGCTCAGAGGAGTCCAGAGGAGTCTCCTGTCGGACCAGCGTTGGGGGAGAAGGGGTAGAAACGAAGGGGAACTCTCAATAAGCCCATTAGCAAAGCAAGGTGGTCCTAGAAGAGGTAAAATGTAGGAAGAGAAATTTAAAAATGTTCTTTGATCACAGGTTTATATTTGAAAGCAAGGGGATTTTGTGTATTGTGACCCTCTTCCTTCCCTTAGTGGTTGACCTTTCAGATGATCCTCGGAAGAAACTTTATGGAAAAATATCTTTACCCAGTGGTGTTATTACTCAGGCCATCATTTTATTTTTGTGTTGTCGTAGCCAGAAGATGTTTTGTGGAGGGGCTAGGACAGCACATTTGAACGACACATGAGCTGTGTTCAGTTGAAATGAATCGGAAACTTCGTACTTTTGGAAACCCATTTTGATATGTTCCCTATTCAATACATTTTGCAGGCGCTCTCTAATCCCATTTAGATGTTTGAGATTTATTCTTACTGAGTTTTCTTTCTTATTTCTTCTGTTTCATAGACTGGTTAAAGTTTAAAAAATGACAAACAGATGAAAGGAATTTTTTTAACTCTTAAATTAGTATTAATATTCTTATATTGAGATAGTTTAAAAAGGAGGCTTATAGAGGGAGTGAATAAGAAAGGCATCTTCCTTCAACATGGGACTAAAATTTCAGGAATGTAAAACTAAAAAACAAAAACAAAAACCAAACACCCCACTGGATTCACAGTTCCTGGGCATTTTCACTCATGGGACTGCACAATTAGATGCATAATTCACCGTAGGGAAATATGTTGGTCTTTCTTAATCATTTCTGGAATTTGATAATATGTTTTTATAAAATGATGAGATAACCTTAGAATTTTCTTGACTGACATCGTCAAAGCCATGGAATTGGCGGTTTTGTGTGAATAGTGTGTAGAGAAAGCATTCGTGGAGCGGAATCAGTAGAGTGAGGTGGGTGTAGCGCGAGGGACATAGGAGCCATGGCTGTGAACAGTTCTTATTTGCTGGGTTATTTTGTGTTGTCATAGGTACTTTTTTTTCAGTGTTCCCTTCCCTCTCCTGCCTCCCCTCCTACCCAGTCCTGTGCCCTCCGATGAGAAGGAAAAAGCCTGTGTTTGTATATGGAGCAATTGTTACTTGCTTGCGCAAACTCTGTGATAGTCCTTTGTTACTCAAGCGCACACTATTTATATTGAAAAGGGGACCTATTATCATCTTATTTTCCAAATAAAAAATCAAACACGGCATTTGACATAGGATTTTGGGAGATTAAATTTAGATGGAAAAAACACTGACACTTTATGGGGCGGCTGTGTGGCTCGGTCGGTGAGCACCTGCCTTTGGCTGAGGTCGTGATCTCAGGGTCCTGGGATCGAGCCCTGCGTCAGGCTCCCTGCTCAGTGGCAAGTCTGCTTCTCTCTCTCTCTCTCCCTCTGTCCCTCCTCCTGCTCGTGCTCTCTCTCTCTCAAATAAATAAAATCTTAAAAAAAAAGAAAAACACTGGCACTTGTCCATTTTTGTTGGGCAGTAAGTGAAGAATATTTTATGTTGGGACGATCTTGAACCACTGGAATTACAGTCTCTGAGCTCGTGTAGTGGGCAGTGATTACTAAGAGGGCTGCAAGCCTTCTAGAGTGGATGACCCATCTCCTGTGTAATCAGATGGTTGGGTTTCCTTACATCCTGGTGAGCACGTGTTTTAGGATAGAAAGAAAATGCCGTGTAAATACACTGCTTTAGTACCCTTGAATACTGGTAAGTTCCTTTTTGATACTGAACTTTTTTTTTTTTTTTTTTTTACATTCTGTCTTAAGCAACTTAAGTCTGGAAAAGTGTGTAGCTGAGCCGGACAATAGCAGAGTCAGAACCTTCTGTAGGATTACGAGTTTTTATTTTTACAGAAGAGAAAAATATTTTGGCTTTTCCAAGGGCATTTAGGAAGTGTCTTTGTTTCTCTTCTTGCCTGGTCTCTGTAGAGCACAGAGAATGAAATAGCTTTGATGATTAATGATTAATCCCTCTGCTTGGCACAGAGCAGATCCTGCATTAATAAATAGTGGCTGCTCACCGTAACGTACAGATGTCCTGTTGCACGGCTCGCATGGCTTCCTTCCGAACACTGCGAGATACAGTTACTCACAGCAGCCTCGTGAGTCAGCAAGCCTGCTGAGAAGTTCCTGGGGGTGGGGTGGGGTGGATGGGCTGTAGCCTTTTTTAGGAGAAGGAGCTTGAGGTCACCTTGATGCCGAAAACTCATAGTTGTCCACAAAGGGACCATGAGATGGATAAATATGGCTTATTCCTTTCTAAGAGTAAGACCAAAACCATTTCTTTCTTTCTTTTTTTTTTTAAACATTTATTTATTTGAGAGAGAGGGCGAGAGTGTGAGAGCAGGGGCGGAGGGGCAGAGGGAGAGAGAGAGACTCTCTAGGAGACTCCGCATTGAGTGGGGAGCCCGATGCGGGGCTTGATCCCACGACCCCGCGATCACGACCTGAGCCGAAATCAAAAGTCAGACTCTTAACTGACTGAGCCACCCACGTGCCCCAGACCAAAACCATGTCTATAGCCAATATTATATTTGATCCCACATGGGCTCTCCTCATGGAAGCACAGTCTATTGTCATAATGATAATAATAATAATAATAATAATAATAATACTAGCTAATGTATTGAAAGCTTTTATCTTTCAGATACTGACTGCTTCAATGTACTTTACATGTATCAACCAGTTTCATACAGAATCTTTTAGTGCCTAGGGTCATCAGAGTCAAACTCCAGTATCATACCAGCGTGTAGAAAGCTACGTATCAGAATTTACCATATATGGAATTGTTCCTGTGGACCGACCACATCCATAGGTCTATTATGCAGAGCAAGAAGAATTTTCAAAAGTGTGGCCTGGGTTTGAATTCCATGCATGTTTCTCCTTTTATATCTGTCACTTCTGTGGCTCTTTCCTCAGGGTCTGGAATAGGAGTAAAATTTAAGTTAGATAATAGATCTTTATTATAAGGTTTCTAAAATCTCTTTTCTCTGCCCTTCCCCCCCCCCACCTGCGGGGACTTGTTGCAGCTAAAAATTGGGAGTTCCCTTCCTAAGAAAGGAGGGGGAAGCCCATGGTGGGGAACAGCCAGCAATTTCTACCTCAGTCCCAAATATCTGTGTTGTATCCCCCCCACCCGCCTCATCTAAAACTCTCACTCCCTCCTCCAGGAAGGTAGCTCTACTAGTCTACTTCCTCTCGAGCAGATTCAGGATCTCTGGGGATGGAACCTTCTCTGTCAGGGCTGGACGTGGCTCACTGAGGTCTGGCAGTCTGCTAGTGAAAACAGACGTGTACTCTGCCGCTGGCTGTGGGGGTGAGATGGGGACCATGGAATCCCCTGGGCAGGGAAGGACTCCCTGAACAGGCAGTAGGTAGGTTTCCTGGTCATGCATCTGGCCTGGTGTCTTTGGGGTCATGACTTTGCCTTTTGGGAGGGTCTTGACTGTAACACATTGAGATGTGCATCAGAGGGGATGGGCTTCTGATACCCACTCTTGGTGAGGGTTCGAGGGGTCTGAATATTACTGTTCTTAGGGTGAAATCACAGCCTTTTAGGTCAGCCTAATGGTTTCTGCGGAGATAGATGTTTCTGAAAACTTTAGTAGGCCTCTGATGGTTCTGTGTGAATAACCATCAAAGATCTTATCTCGAGTTGAGATTTTTAGCCTAAAAACTCTGGTTTTTTAAAGGCCCTGATACTCTGCCCATCCTCTTCTCACCCAATTAGATGGCGGGTCCCTTGGCTGAACGAAACGGTGGTGTGGGTGATCCCTTGATGACAACTTTGGCACAAGGCTGCAGGCTGTCTGTGGTGAAGCATCTGTCTTACCACCTATGGGGGCTGCAGGGACAGCCCCGGAGGCTCCAACGTAGATTGCTGGTGGCCGACCGCTTATCAGATCTGTTTTCTTTTCCATCCTTTGAGACCGACTAGCTCTTGTGGAGATCATGTCCCTTTCATTCAGTGAACTTTGCTGAGTGTCAAGGATGGAAGCACTGATGTTGTGAGTGTTCAGAGCTAGTCCCTATAATGGTATCGCTTCTAACAGTTGCATGGTCTTCCTCCCAAGCTGTAGAAAGCCAGGCTTCTAGCAGATGCTTTGCTGCTGTTTGACAGGAGCGGTCTCCACTGTTCCCTGCCCCGATGACCCTCCCTCTCTCAGGTCGCATTTCTGGTGATATGCGTGAGATCAAAGCCTTGCACACCCCATTCGGGTACCAGCTTCTGGGTCAATTAGGATTAGACAGGTATCCCCGAATTAAAGTGTTTCAAACAGGATTGAGGTTTGGGTTCATTTCTCTGTCCCGTAAATGAGAGAGGCCGAGATGGGCAGCCCAGGGTCCACCAGCGTGTGGCCCCCCGCGTTAAGGATGCAGTTGAGTTGCTCCGCCACCCTCAGCAAGTGGTCTGAGAGGTGCCCCCGGCATTTATGTTCTGGTCTTAGCCAGTACGCGGGGGAAGGGGCTGAGAGGGGTGTGCCTCCACTCTTACGGACTCTTTCCAGAAATCGCTCGTGACATTTTTGTTTATATTCTAGGGCTAGGATCTACGCACAGGACCGTATCGACCCACAAAGAAGGCTAGGAAATAACTGTGGTCTGTGTACTCAGCATCCATGAATCCACTGAAAATCAGGGGCCAAGTACACTAGGGAGGAGTGGAGAACAGATACTGGAGGAGAATTAGAAGTCTTTTTCCCAAGCATGTACTTTTTATTAGTCGGACTATTAAGAAAAATAGCTGGAGGCCTTTAAATAGTATACACGGAATGATAGCCCCGGGGCCTACAAGATTTAAAATCATGGGTGAAAATAATTATTTGAATACTCACACTAATTCTGTCTCACACTTACTCAGTACCATCAGAGGTAACTTGGAAATTGCTCTTCTGACAAATAGTTTGGAGGG